TATATATATGTGAATTAACTTCATAATTAAGGTATGTTCTCTAACCCTATCCTCTTCCCCTCTTCCTCTCTTGCACTTATATTTTCCTCATCCGGCAGTTGACTTGACCGTCGGAGTGCGAATGATCGCCGACATTTTTCTTGACTGGCGGCCTTTGCCTCCTAAAGATATGTTCAGTGTGTAGGTGATGTTCACGTGGAGGGGACGTGGCTGTGATTCTGTTGAGGTCATTTTTTGGGGTCAACACCCTGACACATTGCTAGATGTCAATTTGGGACGAAAAATGTGAATTGGTGATAAATTAAATGGGTGCTTTAATTTATCGATTTTGATTATATCAAAATAATAATTCACGTCGCTAGGCATCATGATCGGGAACATAATGGGTCACACACAAAAGAGAACCAGAAGAATGAGAAAACTTATTAATCTTGATTTTTTGGGGTAGGAGGTGGAGCACTGCTTGGGTCGAAGGTGGCGGTGATGGCAGCGTCCGGTATGGTCTTGCCGGAGAAGAGACACTTCGTCGGAGTTTCGATCTAGGTGTTGGGTGGGGTGAGGGGGTAGGTTTATAAATTTATTTCTATTTTTTTGGGATTTTTAATATATTATTTTAACTTATATAATGCAAATGACCATTTTGCCCTTATCAATTTGGTCAAAATTGACAATTTTAACTTTTCTGGTCAACTAACGGTCAAATGGATAAACCACCCATTTGGACATCTGCTGCATATTTCTGAAAGGTTTGGACTGTAGCTGGCACAAATTAAATGTTAGGGTAAAGTTTGCAAAACTCTGAAAGGTTTGAGACCACTACTGCAATTTTCCCTAAATTTAATCAAAATCCTAAGTTAGTTGTGGGGGAAGAAATTTGACCTAAAAGCTTTTTTCTTGATAAATCTCCTGTTCTAATTATTTAGATTGTCAAACCTTGATGGAATTTTTTCAATAAACTGATTATGGAAAAGCAGTGTTCTAAAAAGCGCGCGACATCTAGGAGGCGCATAGGCGCGAAGTGTGATGAAAACGCTTCGCCTTGAGTCTAAGCGTGAATTAAGTGGTCAATGATAATGTTGACAGCTTAATGCTCACCTAGGCATCACCTTTCTTTTTGTTTCTTTTTCTTTTTCTATTTTTTTTTTTTTTGTAGATACACACCAAGAAAAAAAAATAGACTTGACATTACGAGGATGAACAGTCTTGTTTATGTCAAATTTAATGTAAGGTTGATGAACAAGAAGAAGA